TTTTTTTTTTGTACCAGGGATCAAACTTGGGTCTTTGTGCTTGCGAGGCAGGCGGTGGAACCACTGAGCTAAATTCCCTGGCCCAGTGAGATCCTGTCTTAAGATAAAATATAAAAATGGTGGAAAGATAGCTCAGTAGTATAGCACTTGCCTAGCATATGTGAAGCCCTGGGTTCAATCCCTAGTACTGTAAGAAAACCCCAACACAAAATGAAAAGACAATTCTTATGTCGTAGAATGGTGAACTAATAGAGTTTACATGAAGAGCCATAATAAATAGTTGAGGAAAAGACTTTTTAAAAAGCCTCATCCCAGACAATTTTTCCTGTTCTGTAACCTGCTAGTTATATTTCAGGGTAAAGGAAAGATATTGACTTTGAATCTTGTGATAACATCTGTATCATGAAAATAACACATCTCCATCTGGTATGAATAAACTTTAATAGTACATAAGATCGTAATGATGTAATGGACAATGTGAAATAGGAAGAAAGGGGCTAAAGGTGTAGGGAAAGAGGGAAGGGTAGGGGAAAGCTAATAAGGGAAAAGAAAAATATGAGAAAATGAAGAAATGTAAATGAAGTGTTTGTAAAGGGGGAGGGAGGAGGGGTGAAGGGAGGGCAGGGACAAGGGGAAAAATGAGAACCAAGACGTGTCATGTAAAGGTACAAGATCCCAATGATGAATGCAACTGTACTGTCTACCTAAAATGTACCAATAAACTCAATGAGGAAAAAAAAATAACACATCCTTTATGAACTATACCTGATGGTCATGTGTACTACTAATGTCTGGTTGTCATGATTTAGAAGATAGTTTTGAAATCCAAATTAGTTTTTGCTTACTCTATCAACAAATGAATTAAGCTTTTGGAAAAGGAAGGGATGTTGGGGACAGTGTCGTTATGAAATTTCCCTTAATTGGTAGCAAAAATAGAGAATGCAGAACAGCAAAAGAAAACAACACAGAGATAAAAGTAGTGGACATAATATCCCACCAGAAGCAGTGAGACTTGGGTACAGGAATAGTGCCAAGGGGATTGTTGACCATTGACTTTCAGGTTCCCACCAATATTTACACACTAAGGAGGCATCCTTACTGAGAGTAGAGAACGTGTGGCCTGTGTGATAACAGTAAACCTGGCAGGGGCTTTCCAGGCTCGAATTTGTGGATGAGTTCAAGGAGACTTGAGGAGGTTAAAGGCCATAGCAGTGATCTGGATCCTCAAGGCTGTCAGAAATACTCAACAAAGATCTCTCTGGAAGGACAGTGAACCCTAATTGATAGGGCATTAAAGGACCAAGATAATTTATATACTAATGGAGGAAGGGGCTGGAGGCAGTAGAACTCAGAAAGTACTGGAGAGGCGGTAGTCTTAACCGTATTTGTAATATTTCCATATAAAACCAGAAGGGAGAGCAGTAGAGCCATGAAACTAGGAAAGGCCTTCTGGGTGCCCTTCTGAGTCCTCTCATCCCCCTGAATTAAATATGAGCAACAGAAGTGGATTGAAGTTGAATTTCATGGCAACATAAGGAACGCATTAAGATAACCTTGTGAATAATAAAGCTACAGATAATGAAGTCATATCAGAAAAATGGGACACTCAAAAGGATAAAATTTCATATTCCAAATGAAGGTAAATAAATGATAGAAGTTAGGAAATAACTCCATGCATCAGGGTTATAAGATTAAGAACATTTAGAAATGAGAGAACTAAACAATAAAGCATGATGTAAGGAGGGAGTAGAAAGGAAACCTAACAGTGAGGAAGGAGTATATTCTCTTTTAAATGAGCAAAATTAAATGATAGTGTCAGGAATGTGCATTTGGGTAATTATAAGGAAAGGCAAGGAAATGGTTACTATAAAATTCATGTAGCCAGGCATGATGGCTCATACTTGTAATCCCAGCACTCAGGAGGCTGAGGCAGGAGGATTGCTATGAGTTTGAGGCCAGCCTGGGCTGCATAGTGTGTTCACGACCCGCCTGAATGGCAGAGCAAGACTCTGTCTCAAAAAATTTTTTTTCATGCAGTACCTCTGTTTGAGTACATAAAGGGGTTTGAGATCAGGATGGGATAAATGGGGAAGCTTTCCAAGAGGGCTGGCAAATTCTGCTTCTTGAACTATATGGTAGTGACAAGACTCACTGGCTTATACTAACTCACTAAATGAGGCATTTGTTTGATTTGGTTTTCTAATTATATCAGTTAGTTGTGCTTTTGGCTAAAAGTAACCGAAATACCTGATACCAGCTTGTACAAACAGGTCTTTTTCTTGGGTACCAGTTACAGGTTGATACTATGGGTCCTGGTCCAGTCAGGCATCTGGGCACTGGACCCTACTACCACACCATCTTTGGGTTTTGGTGGTATGTCATTTGGTCCACAGAGGCAAGCTGGCTACATGAATCTTCTGCCCTCTTCTACCAGGTGGAGGTGACACTGTCTATAAGAGGAGCTAAAACCCTTTCATGGGGTTCATCAGTTAAAAGTGATTTAATAATAGCAGTAGTACATTATTTATCTTTCTTGGTCTCATCTCTCGGCATGCAGTGGTGTTTTCAAAAGGCTGCATAATGGGTGATATTGACTGTTGCTCAGATACAGAAACATAGGAGAAGCATCTGCCTTCTGTTAATCCAGATGTTTAAAAGAAATTTGTAAACATGTGAACAATTGGCTCTCTTTTCACTTTTTTGTTTAAGAAGATGTAATCTTTTAAAATATTTCATGTTAAATAGGACACACATGTAAATACTGAAGTTTCTCTGGTGTGAGAAACAAAGTGTAAATAAGGACTAAAAGGTATAATAGATAATATGAAATAGGAAGAAAAGGTCTAAAGGGGAAGGGGAAGTAGGAGGGGTAGGGGTAGAGGAAAAGAAAGATAGGAATGGAATTAACATGAGAAAAAGAAAAAATGGAAACAGTCTTTGTAGCTAGGGAGAGGTGGAGGGGTTAAAGGGAGGACAGGAGAATGGGGAAAAAATAAGAACCAAGATGGATTATGTAAAGGTGCAGGTTTCCAGTGATGAATGTCAATACATTCTGTATCTTAAATGTACCAATAAAACTAATTAATTTAAAAACTTTCATGTTAATATGCAATGGGTTATTAATTTTAAATAAATATTTTTCCTGTTTTAGTCAATCCAGTAAATATCAGTAGCTATGACCCTCAAGACAGGCTCTTGAGGGGAAGCACAATAATTTTTAAGGTTGTAAAGGAGTTCTGAGGCCCAAAAGTTTAAGAATCACTGATCTGGAGAATAGGTGATTTCTAAATATTTAAGAAATATGAAAACTATGGAAAGTAAAGACTTTCCTTATTTCATAAACCTTATGACAGTCTTCTCTGTGCCCTGATGTTTGCTAGGTTCTGTGAGTGCAGTGGTAAGCAGCCCATCAGAAAAGCCAAGCCATGGTAGTGGTGATTTTTTTTTAAAGTTATCTACCAGGTATTTTCAAAGTGTAATGGGATTATGGTAGAAAGCACAGTGTTTGGATAGTCATTAGCCTCAAAGATCACATCAAAGCTCACTCAGATTGGGAAGATTGCTACTTCCCTTTCTGCCAGAAACAAACAGTCCATCTTGGACTCCCTCACTGTCTCCTGAACAACTTAGTTCCACCTAAAGTAAGAATTGCCTCTGTTAATCCATAATCAGTGGCTTAAGGGCAGAAACTAAAACTAACTATTGTGCTTTGGGCTGACTTTTCAGTGACTGTGCTGGCTATATTTAATGAACTGCACGCAGATGTGGATCTTTATGCACTTCTGTTTGGAGAGAGCGTCCTAAATGATGCTGTTGCCATTGTACTGTCCTCGTAAGTAGTGATGTGTCTCCTGCCTTGATTTATTTCCTGCATGTTTGGGGCCAAATTCAGAGGGCCATCTTGAAAGTGTTTAATATTGGTTACATATTTTTCTAACTAAGATTTATCAGCTTTATTTATAAAGTTGTGCTGCTTTATCCACTCTGCAGCAGTCAGAATACTGATGCCAGTATAACACAGTGACTGCAGATTAAATTAAATGACTTTGTCCTGGGCACTGCTTGGAAGAGTATCGATACCTCTATTTGTTGATATTTTGTTACAGAAGTCTCTCCTTATCCTCTGGGGATATGTTTTAAGACTCCTAGTGGATGGTTGAAGCCACATATAATACCAAAAACTATGCATACTATATGTTTTTTCCTATATGTACATCTCTATGATAAATCTTAATTTATAAATTAGGCAGAAAAGGTTAGCAATAGTAGCTAATAATAAAATATACAGTAATAAAAGTTACGTGAATGTGAGGTCTGTCTATTTCAAAATATCTCATTGTACCTTTTACTTTTTCACTTAAGGGAAGCACTTTTTGGCTTCTCTCTGGCATATCTGAATTTCCAGAATCACTACTCTTGCTCTCTGGGTTGCTTGAACACTAGCGGTGACTAACGGGCAAGTAGGATTTACAGAATGGATACGTGGGACAAAGGAATGCTCTATGTCCCAAGACGATGGAGTTGGATGATGTGATATTTCATCATGCTACTCATAACGGCGCACAGTTTAAAACTTACAAGTTGTTTATTGTAGAATTTTCCATTTTAAGACTGGTTGATTTCAGCTGAAACTATGGAAAGTAAAATTGTGAATGAAGCGGCAGTCTTTTTTTAACTCTCTTTCTTTTAATTCCAGGTCTATTGTTGCCTACCAACCAGCAGGGTTGAACACACATGCTTTTGATGCAGCTGCCTTTTTTAAGTCAGTTGGCATTTTTCTAGGTATATTTAGTGGCTCCTTTACCATGGGATCTGTGACTGGTGTTGTGACTGCTCTGATATCCTTTTTGTAGTTTCTACCTCTGCCTGGGTGTGCATATGTGACATTATGCTTTCAAAGAGAATGTTCTCAGATCTTCCTTTCAGATCAGAATCTTAACTTGGTTGCTCCACTGGAATGTGGTGATTCATTCCTGAAACGTGTCCCTTTGGTGACACATGTTGGTTGGCTCTCTTGCTTAGAGTCTGAGAACGTTGGGAGTGCAACTCTAGGTTCCACTTTTCCCCTCCTTTGCTTTTTCTCTCCCTTTCTCAGGAAGCAGTTGGAACATCAGTTTTAAGGGGACTAAAAGAGCTGAGGAGCCCTAAGAAGGCTGGCAATTAGGAACCACTGTCTGGGAAGTCCTTTAGCCCTAGGTTGCAGCTACTGTCTGTTGTGCAGGGCCACATGGGTATTATTGTGGCCATAATGAGCCATGCAGATTGCTGCATAGGAGCCTTCCTTCCATAAGCAAAGGATGGCACAATCTTTAGTTTAAAACAACCAACCAACCAAAAAAGCAAAGCGTGGAAAGAGCAGGCAACCCAGGTGTGCCGAGTCCTTCATCATACCCTCCTCGATGCTAGCCACATAATTTCAGCATGGCATCAGTAGAATACTGTTATGAAAATTATTAATGTGATTTTGTGCATTCAACTTTTGCTTTAAATCTTTGAAATAGGATGTGTGTTTTTCTTTTTGCAGATCTCAATTCTAACTAGCTAAATTGTAAGTGTTGAGTAGTCATATGTGGCTAGTGGCTATGGTGTCAGATAGTACAGATTTAGATGGTTTGTTCACAGAGGTTCTTTTGGTACCCTGGGACTAACATTGGGCAGTGAACTCCTTCATGAGATGGATCTTTGCTGGTCCCATGTTGAAGGGCAGTATTAGGACAGGATTTCTGCTGTTTCCAAAAGGAGACCGTAGCACCTGGTGTCTCCCCTGGAATTACACATTTTATTCTTTGTTTTCCATGCCTTCACTGGGCATCTATTGTGGACTCAGGCCTTAGTGACTCAGATGGGACAGAGTCTCAAGGCCCTGCCTTCTCAGGCCTGCCTGAGGTCCTCCCAGTTCCACCAGAATTGACCCACCAATCAAGCCTGAGGCCAGGAATTTATTCATATAACTATAATAAATCATTGACATTGTACAAGTCACCCATTTGAATTGTACAATTCAAAGCCTTTCAGCACATGTTATTTTTAAATTTGTGATTAAATATGTATAAGGGAATTCACCATTTAACTATTTAAAAATACAATTTAGTGACATTAAATGTATTCATAGTATTACGTAGCCATCACCACTACTTATTCAAAGAAATTTTTCCTCATTTGAAACAAGCTCTGTGCCCTCCCCCTCGCCCTCCTCTCTAGTAACCTCTATTCCCCTGGAGAGCTTAATCTGTATTATTTAAAAAACATATGACTGTCTTGAGGATGTAGTTCAGTGATAGAGCACTTACCTAATGCGAGTGAAACCCTGGATTCAATGCTCAGCACCGCAAAACAAACAAAAAAAAAATGTGGATTTTTAGGCCTCGATAATCATGCTTGGAACTAAGGTCCTTGACGGGATGCCAACGTGACCAAATTTACCAAGCTGCACTGCTTCCCCCTGCTAGAGACAGCACTCTTCTTCCTGATGTCCTGGAGCACGTTTCTCTTGGCAGAAGCGTGTGGATTCACAGGTGGGTTCTCTGTACTCTTGGAGTACCCGCCTTCTCACTGTAATGGGAGCTGTGGGAACGTGAGGAGACAGAGGAAATTTTAGATGGCAGCTTCATAAAGTTAACTCATTGCTCACTGAGTATCCATATGGAGGAGAGCTAGTTGTCTGCCTTAATTTAAACAGTTTCCAAAAATGACATTTTGAAGGGTAAAGTGTATGATTCCCAAGTTAGTTATGTGTTTGCATACTCATCAAAGCTATAAAGTAGACACTTTCCTGCAAAGGCTACTGAATATACTCAGATCTTATTTATATTCTTCCCTAGATTGCTGTGTAATTTTATAGACAATAACCATAACTAGCAAATATGTGTCCTTTTCAAGGCAATTTCACATAAACTCAAATAAGGGTGAACACAGTATTTTGTTGTTTTGTCGCTCAGCTATTTAATCATTGTTTTTCAATACCATGCATGTTTTTATGGTGTCATTTTCATATACGGATTCATTTTCATAGACGGATTCAACATCCCGTCACGCTTGGGACCAGAAGTGTTTTGTATTTCATTTTTTAAAATTTTATAATATTTGCATAGACACAATGAGGTATCTTGGTGATGGACCCAAGTCCAAATATAGTATTCATTTATGTTTTATAATATACATTATTCATAGAACCTGAAGATAATTTTATATACTATTTTTAATAATTTTGTACACAAAGCAATTATGTATTACAGCTGAAGAAACTAGGAGGCATTTTTCCCCCCCAGGGATACTCAACTCTTCTTGTGCACTTATGCTTTGACTATGACTTATCATGTGAAGTCAGGTGTGAAATTTTCCATTTGTGGTGTTATATTTGTATCTGTCTGCATTCTGGTTGCCAGAACAAAATACTTGACAGCTGTAATTTAAAGGAAGTGAGGTTTATTTTGACTCATGGTTTCAGTCCATGGTTGGGTGAAACATCATGGTGGAAGGGTGTGGCCCAGGAAAGCTGCTTATCTCCTAGCAAGTGAGAAGCAGAACACAGGGAGGAGCCAAAGAGAAAGACGTCAGAGACCAAATATAGCCTCCAAGGTCACATCCTCACAGCTCACCCAGACACACCCAGAAGTTTCCTTTCTAATCATCTATGCATCTCTCAAACCAGTCAAGCTGACAGTCAAGATTAACCATCACAATGTCAGTGTTCAAAAACTTACAGATTTTGGAGCAGTTCAGACTTTCAAATTAGAGTTGCTCAACCTATAATATTAGTGTGATTAAGCATGTATTTTAATTTCCTTACCTTCTCTCATCTAAAAAAAAAAATAACTGAAACTGAGTGTGGTGATACATTCCTGTAACCCCTGAACTCTGGGAGGTTAAGGCAGGAGAACTGCAACTGCAAGCCCAGCTGGGCAACTTAGCAATTTAATAAGACCCTATCTCAAAATAAAAATGGACTGGAGATACAGCTCAGTGCAAACACCCTGGGTCCAGTCTTCAGTGCTGCAAATAAACACATAAAGACAGATATACATACATAAAAATTAATTTTTTAAAACCACAGGTTTTTCTATTAGAAAACTTAAATATAATTGCTACATAAAATTCAGGTACTTAGGAAGTAGTTGTATCAAAGCAGTGCACTGTATCTTTACATGCAGCATGAAAAAGTGCTCCACTTCCTTAAAACTTGACAGCTTTCTCTGAATGTATAGTCCCAGGTGTGTCATTTGCCTTGCATGACAAAATGGTTGTTATTAACCAGAAATCTAGATCATTAGGCCATGGATAAATGAGAGAGTACTCCCAGTCTATTTTGCCTGAATCCTGAGGCTATACAAAAATACAAAGCATTCATTTGAAATTAAGTCTATTCATTCTAAACAGAGGAATAAGACAAAAATGTACAATGGGTTCTCTCAGTCTTCTTGAGGGAATGAATGCTATCTGCCAACCGCAGATGGCAAATTCAGGAGAAGTTTACAGGAAGGGAGTAAATAGGCTTAATGGTGGTGCAAGGAGGGAAGTTGGAGAATTTGACCTTGAAGCAAGAAAGGCAAGGCTGGAGGAGGGAAGGTGGATGGGAGTGGTGAGGGGCAGAGGGAGCTTTCAGTAATAGGAAACTCAAAACTCAGAAAGCTGCATACACTAGGCTTGCCTACCTTAACTTTTTGTTTCAGCTGGGTTTTCTTCCTGCCTCTCCTTTTCCGTTGATTTTTAAAAATCTCTTGACAGGTGTTGTAGCTGTCCTTTTCTGTGGAATCACACAAGCTCATTATACCTACAACAATCTATCAGTAGAATCAAGAAGTCGCACCAAACAGGTGAGAGAGGGCCTTGGTACTGATGACTCACCTGTTAGTACTGTATAATGAACAGGAGCTCAGGGTTTATGGCTCTTTTTCTCTTCTCCATGCAGCTGTTTGAGGTGCTGCACTTCCTGGCAGAGAATTTCATCTTCTCCTACATGGGCCTGGCGCTGTTTACCTTCCAGAAGCATGTCTTCAGCCCCATCTTCATCATTGGCGCTTTTGTATCCTTTTTTTATCCTGCCATTTTCTACGTGGAGAGGTAACCACTTCGAGGGGAACTCTACTAGCTCTGATTTCTTATTGTTATTTCTCTTTTGGATGGGTGACAAGGCCGTGTTGGCTCATGGTATTTTTACAAGAAAAAAATATTTTAAGCGATGTTTCACAAAGCCAGATATATTTGATATAAAAGAGTGGCATTTATTCTCCGGTGATCCTTCCTGCATTTTCTGGGTAAGTTGGCCTTTTCTTTAAGCTGGTGCTTCAGAGGTGATTGATTGTTTTGTAGAGTGCCCTTCTGGATAAAGCTGACAATTGGCAGCCACATCCATTTCCGGGATTATTTTTGACATTTCCTTGCCATATAAAATCTAATACAGGTGATTCTCTGATTTAGGCAACTAGAAGGTTCCATTCTTCTTGCTCCCAATTGCATATCCAGCATGGGCAACCCGTCCTCATGCCACCCAGGGGTGCCTGCAGGTAGTGACCATGCTTTCACCTGAGCTGTCCTGTTGTTATGGGTCACTGTTGGAAACACTTCGTTGTGTTTTGTTTAAAGGAAGGGAGGAAATAGAAGAAAAGAAAAAATAGAGAAAAATTTGGTTTCTTGACTTGGTCCCATTGTAAATGCAGTTTTTAGAAGGGAGACATGGTTTTGGGGGGTGACTTCTTTTGGGTGAGGAGAGTTGTGAGTGCCTAGCAATGGATTATAGATTTCACTCATTTGGCTGCAGATACTGTTGCTCTCATTTATACTTTTATAGGGCTATGCTCAAGATCCTGAGCCAAGTGCTCTAATGCTGGATGTTTGCTTTCACTTTTTCTGAGGCCTCAGGGATATCCTTAGCCCTTATCATACTGGCAAAAAGGGAGTGTTTTCTACTTCTGGGCCTTTTGTTTCTTGTGCAAGAATGATTGCCACTTCCCAAGCTGCTAGACAGTGATGGCACCAGAATCCTTCTAATTAGAATGTCTTACATTTTTTGGATTCACATACTTAGCAGACTAATAGCTCAAAATCTACAAGGTTTGTGATTTTCTTCTTCATCCAGAAAGGCCTGGCACATGGTCCTGGCGTATTCCCAGCATGCCATCCTGTGAGAGATATTGAGGGCACCACCCTTGTTTACAGATGATGGCCTGTCAAAGGGTGAGCTGAGCCTCTTGGGGATCCTAAAGGCTGCTGGTCGCTTAAGGACTTTTCCTTCATCTTTGGGAGGGGATACACTACCTGTTTCCATTTGGTAAAACAAATCAAAAAAGGAAAGGAGAGAGAGCGAAAGAGAAAGGTATAGAGGAAGACAGGAAGAAATAGTGCATGCTTTACCCAGGAGGAAGCAGGAGATAGTGTGCTCCCCCTTTTGTAAGAAACAGCTAAGGCTCCTGCAGCTGGTGCTTTACCAAAAAATGGAAGCTCCCATTCCTCTGTCTCGCAAGGGGCTTTCCTTCTCTGACCAGGTTAGCTCTCTCTGTTGGGCACAGTCTAAATTTGGCAAGTGACAGATGACCAATTTCCCTGATTTCTTTGCTTTACTGTAGAGCTCCTTTTCCACACCCTTCCATCTCTTATATCTCCAAAAGACATTTCAGCCATTTAGGTAGAGAAATCGCCCTGGGTTGACATTTTTAAATGATCTGCTGGTCTTTTGTGACACAAATACAGCAAGTTTCCCCACATCTTATTTTTAGGCTTTTTCTGGGCATTGGAGTCCATGTTTAGTTGCAAGAGAAGCTTGCATGCTTCACCCAGCCAACTTTCTTTATAGTTTATCTCCAGGGCCAGGAATTTTTCTCTCTTGGTGATTTTTCTTCCAGTAGAGTCCAATATACTGTTTGCTTCTCTCAGCTCCCCACTTCTGCCATGATACTTTAGCCCATTTCTGGACTCACTTTTAGATAGATGTAGGTATCGGTCCTATGAATTAAGTCAGAAAGTTACAAGAATGTATTCAACAAACTAGAAATTATCTCTTTGAACCGGAAAGTGGGGAAAGTTGGCCAAAAGAGTCCCATTTGTTTCAGAGAATTGTTTAGACTGGAATACTAGACAGCCTGGTTTCTTTGGACAGCTGTCCAGATCATGGCATCCTTCAAATTCTCTGCTCAACCAGAGTTTGCATGGAAGTGTTATACTGGAACCTATTGGGCCCTTAACCTCCACCTGGTCATCAGGTTGCCATCTTCCTGGGCAGAGCTGCGCATATCTACCCGCTCTCCTTCTTCCTCAACTTGGGCAGAAGACATAAGATTGGCTGGAATTTTCAACACATGATGATGTTTTCAGGTAAAAAAAAGTGTAAATATAGAGAAAATGAATTTTATTTCTCAAGCAGTGATGATATGATTAGAATATAATCGATAAGGTTCACAAAGTGACATTTAATTTTGTGGTTCTTTTGTAGAAAGATGTACATGTTAACCGAGTTAGAGGTGATTTACAAACTGAACTAACTAAATGCAGATAATTCTCACCTAAGATATTTGCATATCTGTTTAATCTCTACCAGCCAAGGGACAAACTATTCAAAGTGCCTGATTGTTTTCTAGTAGATGTTTATAACCCTAAAGGGCTCCAGACCTAAAATTAGAAAGAAAATAGCTGTGATAAGAAAGAACCTGAGCCATGTCACTCACCGCCTCCCAGGTATACTGTCTTCTCCTATAAAATAATGAAGTGGAAATAACTAGGTAAAGTCCCACTTCCTGTGGAGGAAAAGGAGTGAAGTGCACTCACAAAACAAGATAAACTCAAAGTCAGAATTTAACAGCTGTGATAATCCTGCTTGATTTACACTGCACCCACATGCCCTCCTGTTCACTGTAAATCTGTGAGGTCCAGAGAAGCCACCGAGGGAACAAAAGATAATTAAGATGTGGAGGTAAAGAAGGAGAAAGCAGTTGGCATGAGAAGATGATATGGAGAGGGCGATAAACGTCAGCTTTTATAGACATGAGACCCAGATTAGGCATTTCTGCAGAATAAAGGGAAAAGATATTGGGGGCAAAACGCCACTGAGACCCTTAAAAATAATTCTGTCCACCTGTACTGAAAGGAACTGGCGCCTGCCATGGATCACTCCGCACACTGGCAGAGTTCATATGAGTGATCTTTATTAGAGAGCCACATCGGCACGGTGCCTGCTTGGCGGAAAGGGAACAAAAGACAGAGAGAGGGAGCCAGAAAAGGGCTTGGTTATATAGTGGGTGACTGGTGTAGGTGGGTCAGGGATTGTGTTAGCTGCAGGGCAGCCACTTAGGGGCCACTCTTGGACATTTACTATGACCTGTGACACGTAAGGTGGGGAATGGAAACTTTAAGGTGAAGAAGGAAGTTACCAGAATGGCGGTAGCTATTTCAAGGCACTTGTCTTACATGTACCAGGCTGCAGAGCAAGTATCAGCTGCCTTTACTTCCTGCACTGGTTCTTGGGGACCGGCCAGAGTCATTCTGAAATCACACCAACAGATACTGCTCCATAAAGCACACGCTTTGTCTTGTGCTAACTTGCATGTGAACATGATCTGCAGCCTGCCATAATGATTTCTTTTCCCTGCGCCAAACATGTGTTGACATCCTTTTATAAGCTCATTTGTGGGCTGTGGAGGATGCAAAGACCAGAGTCCTTCCAGGAGTTCACAGACTACTAGGGACAGGCAGGCACACAAAAGAGCTAATTCTTCCCAAGAGAAGATGGTGGGTTGCACAAAGAAGTATGAAAGATATGTGGACAAGAAGAGAAGGCTCAAGGCTCTCTTTACAAGGAAGGTAGCCTTCAAAATGGTCTTGGAAGAAATGGCGCTTCAGGAGGAAGCAGTGTAGAAAGGCAGACACAAGCCTAGACCTAGTATTATTTTTTTAAGAAGGGTAGCAGTCTGGTCAAAGTATCTGACATATGGAGCAATACAGAAGGAAGGTGAGACTGAAAAAGAAAACTATATCTAAGCTAGAGATTTGTAGCCATTTGGTTGCATTCTCTCTCACTGGGCTTGTTAAAGCACAGATTGCAGGCCCTGCTACCACAGTGTCTGATTCTGGGAGAGGACCCCAAGAACTTGCATTTCTAGTGTATTCTCAGCTACTGCTGCTGCTGCTGCTGCTGGTGGTTGTTTAAGGACAACACTTTGAGAACTACTTCTACAGAATCGAGACTACAGAGAAACTCCAGAGCTGTATCAAAAGTTTGAGTTTTACTCAAAAGCAGCTGGGAAACATTGAGAGTTTGGTGAGGAAGGGCAATGACAAGCTGCTGCTTGAATATTATGAAAATGGCGATGGATAAGACAAAGTTGACTTAGAGATGATAGTCATCTCTCTGCTTCAGAAAGTGATAAGCATGATGGGATACCTGTGTTTGAAGTGAGGGGAGGTAATTTGAGGGAGATTAATGGCAGTGTGTCTTTTATAATAATTTTAAAAATTTATATATTCACTTTATATTTCGATTACACTGTATATGTGCATTATCTTCCTTAACAAAAGGATGAGAAGTACATCATACTGTTTAAATAATAAATAAAAAATATTTTATGCTGGGATGAATCTGGCTCAAAAGAACTCATTCTTTAAAGTTTTGAAATACCTGAAGTTCTACTTTCATATTGCTTATACTGTTTGCATAATAAAATAAAGAAATATGTCATACATGGTCTCTCTCTGAACTGCTCCCAGTTCTTTAGTTCTCAACTTTTTTTCCCATTGAGTTTATTGGTACTTTTAAAGTATACAGTACAGTTACATTTATCATTGGGATCTTGTACCTTTACATGTAAGATCTTTGTTCTCAATTTTCCCCATACCCCTGCCCTCCCTTCACCCCCCTCCAACCTCCCCTATTTAAAAAGACTTTGTTTCCATTTTTTTCTTTTCTCATATTTTTTCTTGTCCCTTATTTCCTTTCTGTTCCCCTTCCTACTTCCCCTACACCTTTGGCCCTTTTCTTCCTGTTTGACATTATCAGTTAACAGTTTGGATCTTATACTTTCAGTATTTCATACCGGAGAAACTATTTGGTATTTACACATATGTGTATTATTTATTTCACTTAAGAGTATGGCCTCAATATGCATCCATTTTCCTATGAATAACTCTAGTTTCTCTTTCTTTATAGCTGAGTATATTCCATTTTATATAAAAAGCACATCTTCTTTTCCAGTCTCCAACTGATGGGCAATTGGGCTGTTTCCAAGTTTTAGCTATTACAAAGTGTTCTTTGGGTGAGCATATAATGCTGTGGTATGATTCTTTTAATTCTTTTGGAAAGATACCCAGCAGAGGGATACCTGGGTCAAATGGAACCTCTAATTCTAGTTCTTTGAGTTATCTCCATATTGATTTCCACAGTGGTTGCACCAGTGTGCACTCCCTCCAACAATGGTGAAGTGTTCCTTTTTCACCACAACCCCACCAACATTTGTTATTGGTTGATTTCTTGGTAGCTATTCTTTCTGGGGTGAGGTGGAATTTCAGTGTTGTTTTCATCTGCATCTCTCAAATGACCAGTGATGTTGAACATTTTTTCATATATTTATTTGCTACTTTTACTTCTTTGAGAAATGTCTGTTGATTTCAGAAGCCCATTTTTGAAATGGGTCTTTATATTTGGGAGGCCTGATTTTTTTGAATTCTTTATATATTCTAGATAATAGTCCTTTGTCTGAGGAGCAGCTGGTAAAAATTTTTTCCCACATTGTAGGTTGAACCTTAGCTCTGTTGGTGGTTACTCTTGCAGTGCAGAAGCTTTTAATAAAATGAGATCCCAGTTGTTGAATCTTTGTTCTAGTTCTCGTTCTACTGAGGATTTGTTCAAGTCTTTTCCTATGACATTGTCTTTGAGAGTTCTGCCTAATTTACCTTCTAGCAAGTTTAGTGTTTCACTTTTAATATTTAGATCTTTAATCCACTTGGATTTTTGTTTAATGCATGGTGAAAGATAAGGGTCTTGTTTTAATCTTTGGCAAGTTAGAATCCAGTTTTTCCAGCACCATTTATTAAAGAGGCTATCTTTCCTCCACTGAGGATGATTGGCTCCTTTGTCAAAGATGAGGTAGCTGAGTACATATCAAGTTGTTTCTGTATCTTCCAATCTATTCCACTGATCCTCAGTTCTTTTTCTTTGCCAATACCATGCTGTTTTTATCACAGTGCCTTTGTAGTATAATTTCAAGTTGGGGCTTGTGATACTCTCTGCCATGTCTCTGTTGCCTAGAATTGCTTTTGCTATTCTAGGTCTCTTCTGGTTCCAAATGAATTTTTGGATTATTTTCTCTAGTTCTGTGAAATATACTGTTGGAATTTCAATCGGGATTGCATTGAATCTGTATAGCAGTTTTGGAAGTATGGCCATTTTTACTATGTTGATTCTTCCTACCCAGGTGAGGGAATATCTTTCCATTTTCTTATATCCTCTTTGATCGCTTTTTTCGGAGTGCTGTAGTTTTTAGTGCAGAGGTCTTTAGCTTCTTTTGTTAGATTGATTCCTAGATACTTCTTTTTTTTGGATGCTATTATGAAAGGAATTGTTTCCCTAATTTCTCAGTCTGTTATTTGTGTACAAGAAGGCTATTGACTTTTGGGTGTTGACCTTGTATCCAGATACTCTGCTGAAAGTGTCAATTAAGTCTAGAAATCTTTTGGCAGAGTTTTTTGGTCTTCAATGTAGAGTATCATATCATCAGCAAATAATGACAGTTTAACTTATTCCTCTTCTATCTTTATTGCTTTAATTTCTTTCTCTTGTCTAATTGCTGTGGCTAATGTTTCCAGAACTATATTGAACAGGAGGGGGGATAGTGGATATCCTTGTCCCGATTTTAACATGAAGATTTTCAGTTTTTGGCCATTTAGTATGATGTTAGTTGTTGGTTTTTCATAGATTGCCCTTATCAAGTTGAGATAAAGACCATCTATTTCAATTTTCTATAAGTATTTTATCATGAATGGGTGTTGGATTTTGTCAAATGCTTTTTCTATATCTATTGAGATGGTTATATGGTTTTTGTCCTTGACTCTGTTAATATAGTGTATTACATTTATTGATTTACATATGTTGAACCACCCTTGCATCCCTGGAATAAATCCGACTTGGTCAGGTGGTGTGATCTTGATGACCCTCTGTATTCTGTTTGCCACTATCTTATTGAGGATTTTTACGTCTGTGTTCATTAAGGAGATTAGCCTGTAGTTTTCTTTTTTTGGTTGGGTCTTATCCTGGTTTGGAAATCAAAGTAACACTTGCTTCCAGGGATGAGTTTGGAAGTATTTCTTATCTTCCATTTCATTGAAAA